GAACCTGCAGAGACAGAAACATAAAGTTGGACAAGGAGTCACAGATGGAGATTCAGGGATTCATCTACAAGACAGCGCGGACACGGGCAACCTGCTTCCATGAAAGCAGTCCTCTGCTGTAAACACTGTAGGAACCAGGAAATGTGGAGAATAAGGTGAGGATAAAGAAAAAGGAAAGCATGCAAAGCTCTTGACTAGCAGACTGGGCAGAGCAATATTTATATTTCATGGTATCCACATGCAATGGATTATGATACAGAAATAAAAATGCACTATGGTGATACACAATACTGCTGAATCTTAAAAATAACACTGACTAGAAAAGCTACAGATGAATTGTATGATACAAATTTATTTTATGAACTCAAAATAAACAAAACTTATATTGTGTAATAAAAGGTTTACATTTGCCATCAGGGCTAGAGGCAAGGCCCAACAGTTAAGAGCAGTGTGCTACTCTTCTAGGGAACCCGAGTCCCAGCACCCACTGCCAGCAGCTCACAATCTCCTGGAACTCCAGCTTCAGGCGGAATCTAACACCTCTGGTCTCCACCGGCATCTGTGCTTATGTGTATATACTCACCACATATGCATAATTAAAATTAATATGAACAAAAATCTGCTGGGAGGCGGTGGTGCACGCCTTTAATCCCAGCATTCAGGAGGCAGAGGCAGGTGGATCTCTGTGAGTTTGAAGCTAGCCTGGTCTACAGAGTGAGTTCCAGGACAGCCAAGGCCACTATTATACAGCGAAACCTTGTCTTGAAAAAATGAAGACAATAATAAATGCAAACATCTCTAAGATCAGAGAGGGAAATGGACAGCAGGAAAACGGAATGGCACTGATGGCAGACTCCGTTGAGGAGTGGCTCTTAGCGTTCATTTTATCTGTACCCTTCATCACACACATCGTGTGACATATTTTTAATTTATCCTAGAACTCCATTAAAATAAATGCTATTCAATAACATACAATAACAAGTTTGGTCACGGTAGACCAGGGAGCAAAGGAACCGTTTAAGTGGTGTCTGCAGAACTAGAGGGTGACTAACTAGTACCGCACCTAGTGGGTGGGTTTGTCCGCAGATGACTGTCTGAACAAAGCACCACCAGCTCTGAAGGCACTGCCAGGCAAAACCTGGAAGATACTCAGCAATGGCTTCATTGCTTGTTTTTCAGACTTTTTACCTAGTAGCTGAACTGTGAGGGAGATAGGTCTAAATGGGAAACCAAAATGCAAAAGCTCCCCATTGACCCAGCACCCCCCCACACACTTCCTCTCTCGGTTTTCCTGGATGAAGAACCAGAGAAAAAGCAACCCCAGCTAAGAAATACAAATAGCTGGGAAGTAAGGGGAATTCTCAGAAGGGAGATAGCCACAGGGAGAAACCCCAAATTATATAAATAAACTTGGCTCAACCTCTGGCTATCCCCTGAACTACAAAAAGAATATGAGGTGCAGGGCATGTGCCCCTAGCACCTAAAATACGGAGGACAGGGCTTGTGACCCACGGGGAAGCCTTAACGACAGTGTGGCCTGTGCATCTAGACCTTAGGACATGGAGTTTCTGTCTTGTCCAAGAGAACCTGCACTCAGAGTGTGGAGCCATCTGGAATCACATCCTCCTCACTGGACCTTGCCCTGCAGCCCTTCCTGTAGCCATCCACTAGATGACCAATGGCTGACCTCCACCTGCACCACGGGCAAACAGCCCAGTTCCACAAAATTGTGAGGTCTAAGAAAAGGAAACCACGGCTTATGGCAAGTATGTGCCACAGCAACAGATAACTAAAACATCAGTAATGTGAAGTTCACAGAGAGGAAACACTAAGTAGCTGTTATACTACAAGGGGGAGCTGGCATACTTCAACAATAAATACAGTAGCTTTTATAAACACCAATCTCCATAATTATATTCAAATTTCCCATGTAAGCTTTCCTTTCATTAATAGAACAGAAAAGTTCAACATATTGGATTGTGATTAAAGTCAATTAGCAAAAACATTTCAATGATTCACTTAAAGAGGAATTCTGCGATTCACTGAAAACATTTAAGTTGAAGATTCACCAAATCTTATGCTGACTATATTCCTGAGTTTATAATGGGAAAGCAGACTTATGACTCTGAACGAAGAATTATTCAGAGCAACTAAGTTTTCCTTAACAGCAAAAGAATCTTTCTAAGTTGGACCATTTTAAATGCCTTTCCCCCTTAAGTTGGACACATCCATCTACTTTTCTACTAAAACCAAGTCTGCAGACCAGGCAGCCAGGATCTTGGACTTGAATTTACAAAAGTGTTCTGAAAAGAAACCTTCCTCCCTGAGAACTTAATCCTTCCTCACAGGCAGCCCCAGCAGCCTCTCTCAGGAAGAAAGCCTGTGCGAGTGGGAGGGAGCAGGTGCAGAAGGCTGAGGGGCCACCGGCCGCTCCAGCCGCTTCCTGTGGGCAGCACAACGGAACCAGCACAGGCGGCCTGAACAGAATCAAGCACCCTCAGCCAGACCAGAGCCAGCGCTCTTTCAATTAGTCCTTACACTTAGCTGCCTTTGTCTCCAATTATGAAAAAGTTTTTGGGACTCCAGCTGAATCTTTTGTGGCTTCCTGACTCAGACACAAGAAAATGTCCCTGGTGCTAAACACGAAATGAACAGGACGGCCTGTCAACAACACTGCAACAGGAATACATTTCTCCTCTCCTAAAACTTCAACTTTGGAGAAGTAGTGCCGTCCAGTACCAGAGCAACGAGAGGCTGCCAGGCCAAGCCATACAATGAACCACAAAGTCCAGGTTGGAAGCAAAATGATTACAAGGGCAGGATGCTGCGCTAACATTCGACTTCCTCCCGCTGAAGACAGAAGCAGCATCAAGCAAATCATATTTCAGGGAAAAGTGCTGACAGCTCATCAATTGATTTTCAATGAAAATGCTAAAAAAAATTAATAAAGAAGTTAAGCCGTTGAAATACAGTTTCACCAATTAGCTTAATGTCAGAGAATTCTAATTAGGCGCCTTGAGATTGCTATTTAGTGTTTAAGCCTTCAGAGTGCCAAATTCTCCTTTTCACACAAACTGGTTGCAAAATTAAAGACATTAGGCAGCCTTAATTACATTATCAGAACAGCTGGGATTAGGCAATCTCTGAAGTCAAGACGGCATTCTTTTGTCCCAGGATGGAAATCCCTGGCTTTCCAGGGTGCTGGATTTTGGTGCCATTCCATATCTCGCCCATACAAAGCAAGCTGCATTAGAAACAAAAAATTTGCAGACAAAGAACAGAGTAACGTGCAGCAAATAATGAACACATTACCGAAAAAGAAAAGGTAAGTGCAAAGATTAAGCCTGAAATCAGTAGGTTTTGCTAACACCTACTGGCGCCTGGCCGGGCAACTCTCTGGTGACAGTCAGACTGAGGGGAAGCTCACTGGGCCAGTGGAGACAACTCTGTTATCTAAAGCCAAAGCATGGCTCCCCTGCCTCATCCCACCGGTGGGAACTAGCAGCTATTGTTTTTACACATTCTTGCCAACACAATACCTTTTATGTGCTTACATTGTTCATTAAGCTATGTTTTCTTGCATGTGGGAGTCCTTTTTTAATTCTAATTTCTTAAGCAACAGGATATCCTCTTTAGCCTCCTCATTCCCTTCCATATTCCTCTACACAACCCTTTTTTTTTTAAAGGACTCACTTAACAGCTTGATTTTTTTTTAATTGAAAAATGGTGAAAATGAGGATTAGTAGTAGGAATACCATAAATCCTTGCAGAGTGAGTGGTCAATCTGAATGTGGTAAAAAAGAGCCCCCTGCCAAACAGGCATTAACCTTTAACCAAACAGAGCTTCCCCACATCCCCGATCCCGACTCTTCCCAATCCTAGAAATGGTTCTAACTTCCAAATTCTAACTTTCTATTTTAGTTGTGGGGCTAGACAGGTAGTTTAGTGGGTAAAGGTACCGGCTGCCAAGCCTGGCCAATCCCCAGAACGCACGTGGCAGAGGGAGAGAACCATTCTGCAAGTTGTCCTCTGGATCTCCACTACGCACACGTGCACACACCAACTCATTCTCACTCCCCACTACTGCAAATGAAATAAAAATGAACTTTAGTTGGGAAACATCTGCTGGTTTCATCTCAGCTGACAGGCCTCATCTGGATCACTGCTATCGCCTCTGGCCACCCCATTCTTGGCCTGTTCATCTCCAAGTCTGTTCTCTCTGATCTAAAACCCAGCTCATGTCCCTCCCTGACTAAAACTGCACAGTGGCTCTCCACTCCATGTCAAATGAAATCCAAACCCAGGACCCGAGGACTCTAGCAACCCCACCTCTACCTAGGTACTCACTCACACATGGTTTCAGAACGTGATGGGCTGGGGAGACGACTCAGAGGTCAGGACAGAGTTCCGTTCCCAGCACCCATGCAAGGCAGCTTACAACTACCTGTGGCTGCAGCTCCAGGGCATCTAATGCCTTGAGCACTGGATCTCACGCACACTCGTGTACACACACACACACACACACACACACACGCACACGCACACGCACACGCACACGCACAAGCACGCGCACGCTCACGCTCACATCTTGGTCTGTCTATCTTCCTCCTGTACACGCAGCACCAGCACCCAGGAGCAAGCCTGGAACATAGAAGTATCTAAGAAATATTTGTTAATTGAAATTAAGCGAAGTTGTTAATTGTTAATTAAGACAACTGTTAATATCACCTAAAGTCATGTTTCTCTTCCACCATTACAGGATTGGAACGAGGGAAAACATCTCAACAAAATATGTAACACAGGTAACACACTACAGGGCTATTTAAAGAACAAAGACTTTCCACAGCAAAAAAATAATAATAAAAATCTAAGTCATATGCAAAAGTTACACTTCAAACTACACAGTTTCTATTAGATTTGTAAGAATTCATATCTAGAGTGACTAAAAAACCTAATCTTATCAAAGAAAATAAAATTCTTCATGAAGGTAATTAAAGTACCTGTCCCGCCAATTCCAGTCGCTTGTTACCATAATAGTCTCTGTCATCGACTTTATTATCTCCTTGGGCTAGAATCACTCTTCGCACCATCACTGCGGTGTAGATGCACTTAGCTCGGAAGTTGAATTCCTTAACCTGTAATCAGACATTGGAGACACATTTTGCGACAGTGTACACTTACTTAATCAAGGTGCTTCAAGAAAACGATGTTATTACATTCAAATAAGACAGCAATGAATTGTTATAGTTCCCCCTATTTTAAGAAATCAGCTAGTGTATAAACTAGGTATTCAGGCTTTCCCTCTCTGCGTTTACTGCCCCTGTGGGAGTCTTCCTTCAAAGGTGGCGAATGGAACAGCTTTGCTTCCTACGTCCTCCATGCCACTCAGTCATTGCCCACTGTGGACTGGCCCATGGTGAGTCTGACTGAGATATGGCAGACATGATGCCAAGCCAGGTTCTCCAACCCTGGCACGTTCACTGTCTTGAACCCCGAGGCATCAGAGGGCAAGTCAGGGACACAGTGGGAAAGGAGTGCATTTCGCTGTGAGAAAGGAAGCCTTGGTGGACACCCAGTCCAGTGAAGCCATCGGATGACTCCAGTCTCAGCTGCCATTTGCAACTTCATGACAGGCCAAGATAAGAACCCTCTCCAACTCTGGGTTAAGACTAGTGAACACAGACCCATGAGTGATACGGCACAGTCATGTTCACCCTGAGGTTTGAAGCTCTTCGTTATGCAGTGAAATAAATGATTTCTATTCTCAGTATTTACAGAACGCTGTGTTCCATTTTATTTTCTTGGCCTTAATGTCGGGTAAGTTGCATTCATCATCTAACTCTTCTGGCTGTTTAATAATCAGTAACAGTTGTTTTGCTTATCGATGAGAAAAATAAAGAATTTATTAGTCACATTTTTAATTTTCAACAAAGCCCAGTTCACATTCCCCTTTCACAACATAAATACTGGTGGACTTAGAGGCAGAAGTAAACATGAATATCATAGCAACAATCCCTGCTACACTCTACGGTTCTTCAACTCATGTTACCGACCTCCCCTCTTAACTACTATATGCTTGAAACCCAAGTCTAGACCTAAACTGCAATGATTTCAGTCTGAGCACATTTTCCCAGGACAATGTCCACAATCACATGGAAAGTGGGAACCCTCCGCTCTAATGACTGTGCATGGCTTGTAGACTCCCAATAGCAGTTCAGGCGTTCCTTGGGGGTGTTAAGATGAATCACCTGAAAAGGGTAAGAGCTCTAAAATGTGCATGGGATGGTGGAGCAGAACTGTCAGCAGAACCCCGAGACTCTGAATGTCGCCCTGCTCTGAACAGTTGAGGTTTTCCAGTCTGTGACTGTGCCACAGGCTCCTGGAAGACTTGCTAAAATGCAGATGCTAAGGCTCGCTCTAGTCTCCAACTCAATAGGCTTAGGGAGAGAGTCTCACCTTTTCCAGCAAACTCCCGGGCGTTTGTGAGCCCAGAGAGCTCTTGAGCCTGCGTCCTGAGGAACAACAATCGGCATTGCTTTATGTGGTAATACCTCATGCTCCTGCATTGCCCCCAAAGTTTTAATTTATGTAAAAAAAACTGTCTTAGACTGTTTGAAAACTCTAAGTCTTTTCCTAATTCATCTATTCTTTACTGAAATATGTATTTAAAAACATTTAAAAAATTAAAAAATAGTAGTTCAATCTCTTTGCAAAAGAGCAAAGGAATTATGCTTTAAGACCCAAATTTAGCAAAGACCTGAACAGCCAGCATGGTCAACAAGGCTCTCTGCCATTACAGTATTATGGTAAGCCAGGCTCCTAATGTACTGCACCATCTTGGAGAGCTGGGAAATGGAGCTTTCTGTATAAGCTGAACCCTGAACCATCACAAGAGACTTAGGGGGTAGTAGTGTTACTTCATAATTCTGATGAAGAAACTTAAGTTCAGAAAAATTCACATTAGTGCAAGGGAAACCCAGAGTTCCAAACCAGGATCCAAACAATCATGTCTCCAGCATCTCACTGGTCACACTATCCAAGGATCTGAACAATC